TACAAGTATTAGGATGGATTTCAAAAGTAGAGGTATAATCCACTCAATGGGGTTAATAGGAAAGACTTTTCATTGCCCATGGAGTTAGATGACGGACCAATTATTCAATCCAAAGATGAGTCAACTATCGAAGAAGAGCTTGAAGATAATGAAGAATCAATCAAATTGAGCTAAATGAAGATGTGGCAATCAATAAGGAGAAAATTGACTTGCATTCTTTTAACTCGGTTGATTACCAAGATATTGATTTTGTGATTAAGCCCAATGAGAAAGTAGAAATTTTCATAGTTGAATTTGAATTGAATGGAATGGAATAGGCAAGTCATATTATATGAAAAGGGGCAATGTTGAGTTTTGGAGATCTAATGAAGGATCAATGACAAAAGAAGAAAAATGGACAAGGGATCTAAAGCCTTCTTTAGGTACCCATGATTCAATTGAAAAAGTCGAGCTAAACACTATAAAAAAAAAGGTTCGTTGGAAGGCAACCCAACTTTTTAATTTTAAGCTTTTTATTTACTTTTTATTTACTTTTTATGTTTTATCTAATTAGCTATCATTTTCTGTAGGAACTTTTTGAAGTCCCACAGACACATGGTTCCTTACAAGTTTGGGAATAAATTGGTGTTCAAGACCACTTGTCCAAGTTCATTGAGAGCATCCCAAGTCCAAGTCAAGCATTGGGACCTCTTCACAAATGTCCAATTGAGGAAGTTTCGTTATCACTCTCCTATATATTTTGTTCTTTACACATTGAGGACAATGTGTGATATAAGTTTAGGGGTAAATGTGCTTAAATTGGTGATATTGTGTTGACATGTTAGATGGCTTTATCGGCTTAGGATTGTTGAATGTTTGAAGTTTTTATTGATTCATGAGCTATGCAAGATCAAATATTCTATTTGTGCCTAATTTTTTTCAATTGCTTATCCATTTAAAGATCTTGAGTTACTTTGAGCGTAATAGTCATGATTAATTGTTATCTAGATGTGGAAAATTTTTGATTGATGGAGAGATTTTTGAATTGGTTGAATTAGGTTGTGAGTTGTTTGAAAATTTATATTAACCTATGCTCTCTTTTCTTTCACTTAACCATATTGTGAGATAAGTTTGGGGGTGGTCAAGCCGGTGAAGGATATTATCTTGAAGTGTGTGATTTCGTGCATGTTGAAAATATTTGTGTGGACTGTCTTTTGCCAAGTATAAGCTAGGTAATGACCATATGCTAGTGATCTAAGCCCCATTTTTGTTGTGCTAATAAAAAAAAACAAACAAACAAAAAGAAGTCATTGTACTTGTTGAATCTTGGGCCTCATTCCGTAGCCTTTTTAACTCGAGTTATTAAGTCCATAGGGGTTCCTTGAAACCCGATACCCTTTGGAGTAAACAACCAAGGAGTTATCTACTTAAAGCTCGCTACAAGGGTCAAGAAGAAAGTTTAAGGGAGTGAGGTACAATATGGGATTTGACTTTAAAAAAAAAAAAGACGAAAAAATTGTTTTCGTTGTGCAATTGTTATTGATATTTGGGCTTAGATAACTAGTCTGTTTGAATTACTTAGTATAAGTTTGAATGTGGAAACACTCATTAGTGGAGAATCATTACATAACTAGAGATTGATATTGCCGATTAGACCCAACCAAATTAGAGTGGAAAAAGAAATGAGTGATTGAGAACAACCTTAGATTTACATCTCGAGAAATAAAAGAAATATCTATTTTAGTGTGAATATCCTGAGTGGGAAATGAAATATTTGACCACAAAGGGTTGGGTTGGAGCCAATTTGAAGATTTTTCCGTTTTGACAATTTTTTCCTAATTTAGATAACAATTGAAAGTGACTTTGCACACACAGAGAGAGATCGAACATTGGATATGTTCAAATTATTTGTGGTAGCATTATTTGGAGCATATTTGTAATTGATAATACAATTTTACACCCATTGATATTTTTGGCAAGCTATCTAATGGGTTGATCTTTATCTTATTTTACATGATTATGTTAGTAGATAATTTTGCCTGGGACGAGCAAGAACTTAAGTTTGGGGTAATTTGATAATTGTGTTTTTACACACTTATTTAATATCTAAATATGTTATTTATTAATTAAATGAATGAAATTCTACTCACAATTGTGTAATATTTGCTTTCGTAGGTTAAAAATCACCCAAGTAAAGAGAACTAGGTGAAAGGAAGTGAAAAGGGTCCAAATACATATAAAATTGTGAAGTTGGGGACGAAAAAGCAAAGTGTCAAAAGTACAAGGACATGGGGTTACAATTATTGGAGGGCGCAATTGATATAAAAGTCAAGATTTGAGGACAAATTATAGAATATCATAGTTGAGGGACTTGGCGTGAAATTTCCTAAAAGACTTAGCTGCAAAAAAGGGAAAAAGGCAAGTGGCACTGCGGGGCCATGACTCTCGTTTCGACTTCGGGGACTGTTTTTAATTACGTTCAAAAAGCCCAGGGACTTGAGCTGCAATTTCTCTAGGTTTTGATATAAAAATCAAAATTTAGCAACTAGGTTTGATCGAATTTTTGAGCTCCCAGCCGTCACCTGCTTCTTCCTCTTTCTCTTTTCTTTTTCTTTCTTTTTTCTATTCTTTTCCTTAGTATTTTTTGGGGCATAATCTAGAGCACAAGGAGATTCAACTAAGGATTTGACAAAGTTTTGGGGAAATCAAGAGCAAGCTCAAAAATGGGTTTAATCTCTACCTCGTACTTTATCAATTATTTTGTCAAACTTGTAATGTATTGTCTAAAACATTCTCCTTTTTATTATCAATATAAAATGGGCTAAGTTATTTGTGTTGGGATTTATGGTTGTAGTTTAATTTAGCCTTGATTAATTTTAATATTTGCCATTTGATATTAATTTGCTTATTTTCATGTGTTTCTACTATTGTAATTATTGTATTTTCATTTATGTGGTAAAATGAATTATTATATTTAGTGATATGTACATCGTTCGAGAGAAGATTGTGCATTTTAGACCAAATAATAGAAATCCTAGGTTTGTGTAAATGATAGAGATATACCCCTAACCCTAGGTGATCCTTTGAGTTATTTTCATAAATATTTAATGCAATTGTTTGGTTTTAATCGATGTAGAGATATAGTAGATTAAACCAATCAATTAGGGCTAATTTTGCTTGAGAGATGTAATTAACTAAAATTGAAAAATCGAATCTAACATTGTAAATGAGTAATTTGTTAATTGACATATTGAGAAATTAATTAGGCGACGGTTAAGCAAAAACCATGAATCCCAACCCCGTTTGCTTCCAAAAATTCCCAAGACTTTTATACTTCTTATTTTGTAAATTTTTAGTTATTTTTCCAAAATCATAATTTTATTGTGTGTTTATTTTTATTGTTGGAATTGAATCAATTAAAGTAGTGTAATTTAAAGTATACATTTCTTAAGAGATCAACAATCCGAACTCAAAAAGTCCGCTTTAATACTTAAATGCGACCAGTACACTTGCGGCATGCACTTTTAGCGAACATTGAGCTGTTAAATTTACAGTGCTTTCATTCTTGGCAATGCTTATAATCATTTGTGCAGATATAAGAACAATTGAAGTGCTTTGCACACACATGAAGTTTGAGAAGAGAATTTGTAGAGTTGGCAAGATAATATTGGTGGTTCCATCCACAAATGGGCTCGAAAATGTTTGTCACTTTTTAAGTGATTGCAATTTTTATTTTTTTATTTTTATTGCTATCACTTCCAACTTCTATGTTTAATTAATAGAATTGAAACATAATCACAAAGTGACAACATGTAGAAAAAAAATTAACCACCCCTAGATTTATTTGATGTTTTGATTGGTGTTTGTCACTTTTTTGAATTTTTATCACTTAATTATTTCTATATTTAATGCCATTGAAATAAAGATCATTTAATCTTTTTGAAGCATGTATTTATTATTAGTTCATTTAAGTATAATTTAATAGGATATAACATACTGAAATAAAGTTCTTCTTGTCGATGATTTCATAAGAAACATAAAGATACGTTTTCATTAAAAATTGACACAGCATATTGTGCCCCATTTTTAATTCAAAGTTGCACACAATCAATTTATAATAGGCAATAAATCATTGGCTAAGCTTTCAATTTATTTATAAGAATTTCTTTTAAATGTAAATTTATTTTGTGAATTAAGATTCCATGATGGGAAAGTGACATTTTGTCACTTTTAATTAAAAAGTCCCACTAGACTTTACACAATATTTTTTTTTACTTCAAACACTCTTTTCATATAATTTTTTGAAAGGCCATTGATTTAATAAGCATTTTTTAAGTTTCTCAGAAAGAAGATTTGCAAGAGCCCAACCCAGGTAAAAGCCCAAACCGCAATCTTCATAGTCCTAGGTTTCCCTATAATTTTTCTTGTGAAAATTACACCTACTCATAGATTTCAACTTTTAATTTCAAAAATCAAATTTACAATTTATTTAAAAAATTCATATCATAATTCAACTTTTTAATATTAATAATATTATTAAATTTAATTAATCTACCACCTCTATCTCAACCCCTGCCCACCCTACCTGCCCACAAAACCTAATCATTTAAAAATACTATCCATCATCCCTGTTGCTGCTTCATTTCTCCCACAAATGACTTTTCACGGTGCAACCACTTCGACAAATCTTCAAGGGACAGCTGTGATGCTCTTTCGTGTGCAATAACTTTTCTTTGTATTCATAGTTGCTGTGCGCTAGGCGCCCCACCGTTGCTTCATGCCTACGGCGTTCCTCTATGTGTAGTAGTACAATGTCGCCATGAGCGGTACGGATATGTTATTTTTTTTATTTTTTTTGAATTTTTATTTCTTTGAATGATCGATGGTTTTATTTGTGCTTTTTACAAAGGTTTAGGGTGGTTGTGATCGTCGCTACGTGAAGCAGGCAACGACAATTGTGAGGTGCTGTGGTGGTTTTGCATAAGTTCAGATAATTACGCTGTGGTGTAATTGTGATGCCGTGGTGGTGTGATGTGCAATGTAGATGAGGTTTTGTATGCAATTACAGGGAAATGCATAGCAGAAGTAAAGTAAACTAGACTCTTTTATACTCTTCTATGGACTTTTGAGTGATCAGTCTCTCTTTCCTTCTACTTATCTTGATTTCTTTTCCCCTTGTAGCTGGAAGGATATCGAGTATACTCTCCTCCCTTTTACACACACACACACACACATACATGTGCACATATATAACTTGAATTTAGTTTCTAATTTTTCTTTTAAGTGATCAACTTCCCCATATATGCAATAAGAAACTCCATATTTGCAACAACTAGAAATTGCATTGATGATAGTGCAGAAGTTTTTCGCTATAAATTGTATGCTTGTATGATACCTGTTGAGATTTTGTAGATATTTTTGTAGTAGCTAAAATCCTGTAATTTAAGGATAATCCCTTAAATTAAGGATTATTATTTTTCCTTATTTTTTGGTATAATTAGTTTCCTAATTTACTAGGTTTATACTTTATAAATTGTAATCTTCCCATTCAATGATTTGTATGAAAGAAATACCATTCACAAGATGGTATCAGAGCTTTAATTGCTTGTTTAACAATTCGATTTGTCAAGAGATCAGATGGGCAATCGAACCCGACTTTAATTGAAAGATCAATCAGATTTCAAGACGATATTCTGGTATCCACTACCTTTCTTTTTCTTTTTCTTTTTCTGCGCAGCAACAAATTCACGAAAATAAGAAAGCTCCAAAAAAACAGAAACCAAGAATGAGATCTCTATAGAGACTTTGATATCCGCACCCACACGATTTATTGTGGCCCAAATCAAGAATCAGTGACCCCAGTCTTTGGATTTTCTGTGATCAGTTGTATGCGAAAGTTTTTTTTTTGTGGAATACAAGGCTGAGCATTTTCTGTGATCATTCAAACCGCATATTCTATTGTTATCCTGCTGGCTGTTTTTCACGCTTTCGTCTGTTAATTGTCATTAACCAAAATGAGTGAGAAGAATACTGAATCTCCTATCACTGGTCAATATGAAGCTGTTTTCAATGCAAGTATTATTTTAACTGAATCAAATTATGATGTTTGGTCCCAATTGATGGAGATGCATATTGCTGAAAGGGGGAAATTGTCCTATATTCGTGATAAGAAGAAAGTTCCGGCAGAAACAGATGATGAATATGAAAAATGGTATGCTGAAAATCCAAAAGTGAAGAGGTGGTTGTTGATGTCCATGACTCCAGACATTATGAAGCGTTACTTACGTTTACCCACTGCCTATGAAATTTGGAGTGCACTATCAAAAGCCTTTTATGATGGAAGTGATGAGTTGCAAATTTTCACTTTAAATCAAAAGGCCTTCACCGCCAAACAAAGTGGAAAATCTTTATCTGAATATTATGGAGAACTTACTGAAGTGTTTAGAGAATATGATCGTCGTGATAAACTAGTAATGAAGGATCCCGAAGACATTGCAGCATACCGAAAGTCCGTTGAACGACTTAGGGTGCACATTTTTCTTGCTGGATTGGATGGTGATTTTGAACAAGTTCGTGGAGAGATTCTACGTAGAGAACTAATTCCAGATTTAGAAGAATGCTACTCTTTTGTTCGCAAAGAAGCAGTTCGTCAGGCAACTATAGGAGACACTAGAAATTCAGAAGCTTCCGCTATGGTGGCTCGAAACCGATCTACTTCAAATTGGCAGGATCGAACTATAGCTAACCATCCTAAGACCACGACTAGTGATGCCAAGTCCACCTATAAATGCACCCATTGCAATCAAACTGGACATACCAAAAGTCGATGTTACGAACTTGTAGGATATCCAGAATGGTGGGATCATAGTCGTGCTCCAAAGAAGACATATTCAAGGAAGATTTCCATTGGAGCAGTTGCAGAAGCAAAGCCAGAAGATGATATCACTGAAAAGGCTTCGGCATTGATCATAGCTGCAAATAATGGTGGTAAGTTTTTAAATATTTCTACACCTGTTTCTAATAGTGCATGGATAATTGATTCTGGCGCTACAGATCATATGACATTTGATTCTAGACAGGTTTCTTCCATTAATCCATCCTTACAAAAATTTGTATCTACTGCTAATGGTACCTCAAACCCAGTTACTGGGGAAGGATCTTTGACTCTCACTAATAATTTGAGTTTAGATTCTGTTTTAGTTGTCCCATCCTTAGATTATAATCTTTTATCAGTTTCTCAAATAACTGCAGCTTTATCTTGTGTGGTAATTTTTTGGCCTGAATTTTGTGTGTTTAAGGACATCCGAACAAAGCAGACGATTGGTTATGGTATTAAAAAGGGAAAGCTGTATTACTTAGACTTGGTGCCAAGGAGTTCAGATGGGTTACAACAAGCTTTGACAGTAGATTGCTCTGAGAAGAAAAATAAATCTGAGATTTGGCTATGGCATCGACGTCTGGGGCATGCTTCCTTTGGTTATCTGAAAAAATTATTTCCTAGTTTATTTGCGAAATTTCACATTTCTAGTTTTCAGTGTGATGTTTGTGAACTGGCAAAGAGCCATCGAACTACTTTTCCATTATGCTTGAATAAAAGTCCACTTCCTTTTATGATTATACATTCTGATGTCTGGGGTCCATCTAAAGTTGCTACTTTGGGTGGATCACATTGGTTTGTCACTTTTATTGATGATTGCACAAGGATGACTTGGTTGTATTTGATGGCGTCCAAAGGAGAAGTGAACTCTTTATTTCAAAGTTTTCATAAAAAGGTTAAAATACAGTACAATGCACAGGTTCAAGTTCTTCGTAGTGATAATGGTGGAGAATACCAGAGTTTCAAACTTCAGCAGTATTTGGAAACACATGGGATTATTCACCAAACTACTTGTTCCGACTCGACCCAACAGTATGGGGTTGCAAAATGTAAGAATCGACGTTTATTGGAAGTAAATCGTGCATCATTAATAGAAGCTCATATGCCATCATCCTATTGGGGAGAAGCACTTATCTCAGCGGCATATTTAATCAATCGGATACCCTCCAGTTCCAGAAACTTTCAGACACCGCACCAAACTCTTAATGATGCAGTTGCTGCACCAGCTATCCCTAATTTACCACATCATGTCTTTGGTTGTGTAGCATTTGTACAGATCCATAAACATCAACGACACAAGTTAGCCCCTCGAGCACTGCGATGTGTTTTTGTAGGCTATGCTACCAATAAAAAGGGGTATAGATGTTATCACCCTCCAACTCGACGAATGTTTATCTCAATGGATGTTGTTTTTCATGAAGAAACAATGTATTATTGTTCTGAGCCTAAATTTCAGGGGGAACAACATAGAGAAATTCAGACTCTAAATTCTCTATACTACAATTATCAAACTTTCGAAGACAGCCAATACCCGGATTTCAAGAATCAAAATGTGGGCAACTTGGATAGATGTGATATAAATTTGGATCAAAGTGGTGATGAACATCAAGAGACTGAAGATGTAAATTCTTCTCAAACTCTACCTTCATCTGAAATTGAGCCTCTCATAGCTGATATACCTAACCAATCGCCTACTGAGGATGTTCAAAATTTAACATCTGTGCCACTCAAAAAACAATTACCCGAGCGTCACACAAGAGGTATTCCTAAACCTACATATGAACCCGATCTTTCAAGTAAAGTTAAGTATCCTATTAGCTAGTATTTGTCTAACCACCGATTGTCAGAATCAAATTTGTCATTTGTAAATCAATTATCTGCTGTATCTATTCCTAACAGTGTGCAGGAAGCCTTAGCCAATCCAAGGTGGAAAGAAGCTATGAATGAGGAAATGAAATCTTTACAAAAAAATGAAACATGGGAACTTGTTGATCTTCCGCAAGGAAAGAAACCAGTTGGATGTCGGTGGATCTTCAGTGTAAAGTATAATGTTGATGGCACAATTGAACGATTTAAAGCAAGACTGGTGGCAAAAGGTTACACTCAGACATATGGGATTGATTATACCGAGACATTTGCACCCGTAGCCAAAATTAACACCGTTCGAGTTTTACTATCTTTAGCTGCAAACATGGATTGGCCATTACTACAGTTCGACGTAAAGAATGCTTTTTTGCACGGTGAATTTTCTGAAGAAGTCTACATGGACCTTCCACCTGGGTGTGTGATACCAGAAGGATCTAGTCGGAAGGTGTGCAGGTTGAAGAAATCATTATATGGGTTGAAGCAATCCCCGAGAGCATGGTTTGGAAGGTTCACTAAATCTATGATAGCCTTTGGTTATCATCAAAGCAATTCAGACCACACTCTTTTTTTGAAAAAGCAACATGGTAAAATTACTGCACTTATTGTATATGTGGATGACATGATAGTCACAGGAAATGATCCTAAAGAGAGAAAGGCTCTACAAAATTACTTGTCCAGAGAATTCGAAATGAAAGATCTAGGCCATTTGAAATATTTTCTTGGAATAGAAGTGTCTCGATCTGATAAAGGGCTATTTCTATCCCAAAGAAAGTATGCCTTAGATCTATTACAAGAAACTGGTATGTCGGCATGTCAACCAACAGATGCGCCAGTAGAAGAAGGTCTGAAGTTGTGCATAGAGTCCAACCAAATACTGACTGATAAGGTCAGATATCAACGACTTGTAGGAAGATTGATGTATCTAGCACACACAAGACCAGATCTTACCTATGCATTGAGTATTGTCAGTCAATTTATGTATAATCCAGGAGAACAACATATGAAGGCAGTAATGCGAATTTTGAGGTATTTGAAGGGTGCTCCGGGAAAAGGAATTTTGTTTTCGAAAAACACAGACTATGAAAATATAGAAGTATACACTGATGCTGACTGGGCTGGAGCTATAGATGATAGACGATAGACGATCTACTTTTGGTTACTTTACCTTTGTAGGTGGTAATCTCGTCACATGGAGAAGCAAGAAACAGAGTGTTGTTGCCCGTTCAAGTGCAGAAGCTAAATTTAGAGGTATGGCCCTTGGAATCTGTGAAGCCTTATGGTTAAAACTTCTCTTGCAAGATTTGGGTTATCAATCTACACAACTAATTCGACTATACTGCGA